GCTGCAGCCGCATGGCCACGGGCTGCGGCAGCCGGTCGGGGGGCGGGAGGCTGTGGGCGGTGTCCGGGGGTGGCGAGGCGCTCTCGCGGGCAGGAGGCGGTGGCGGCCCGGCCGGAGGCACGTACTCACGGATCTCCCCCGGCTCCAGGGGGTGGGGCCCACAGGGGTCGTGCTCCGTGCAGCACAGCCGCCCATCCAGCTTGGAGATGAAGAGCATGCCCTCGCGGTGCTGCTTGCAGAAGGACCGTGGACACATCTCGCAGAAGGAGGCCGCCTCCTTGCCGCACTGGTCGCACTGGTGCCACGGGCACTCCCACTTCCCTGCGGCAAGAACAGGAGAGAGAGGCGTGGCTGAGTGTGGCTGGGGGCAGCTGAGGGCTCCCTGCCAGGAGCTCGCTCGGGACAAGCTCTGGGGACAGACGCCGAGGCCAGGCGCCTCCGTGCCTCAGCCCTTTGCAAACCAGCTTTCGGCCTGGAGGCTGCCGCCAGGAAGCCCAGGCTCCGGCGCCTGGGGCCCTGCTACAGAGCCAGGCTGGCACTGGAGGCTCACGGGTGCTCAGTACCTCCCAAAGGGGCTTGGGCAGCTCCCCCTGCTTTCGCCACCATGGGAGGGGGACACAGGCGGAGAGATGCAGGGTCCTGTCCCATCCCTGCCCCTTCGCTCTGGGCTTTTCCAGCTGGTGGAAGGGCCAGCGCCTCACCCCAAGCCAGGCTGAGGAGGGGTCGGGCTCTTCCACCGTGGCCCCACGGGATGGGAGTGCCTTCCCCGGGCCGCTGCTCCCCTCGCCAGCCAGCCTTGGCCTCCACCCATGCTCTCTCCTGAATCCACCTGGCTTTGCCTCCCAGCTCTGCCCCTCTCTGCGAGGCAAGCAGCCTGCCGGTCCCTGCATGCCCTCCCTGGGAGGGTCTGGTAGAGTCGTGGGCTGGGACGTGAGCACACAGACACCAACACTGCAGCACTGGACGCGTGGCTGGTCCAGCCCGGCACCGAGTCTGAGTGCGGCTGCAGCAGATGCCTACGCGCCGGGACATCTAGTGCAACCCAGCCCTGCCAGACCCGCCCTGAATGCCAGCGCTGGTGCAGGGCCGGCAGAGGAGATGGCCCGGACAGCAATGCTCAGCCACGACCCGGGGCCCCATCCTCACTACACCTGCCCGAGCCCTTTGCAAACCGGGCTGTGCTCATGCTCCAGAGGAGACCTGTTCAGGGGACAGGCCCTGGGAACAAGCCCTTCTGGCTCCTGACCACGACCATCACGCTTCTCCCGGCCAGCTCCTCCTGCAGCTCTCCTCCACCCATCTCACTGCTGGGCACCGCGCCAACGGGGCAAGAGCCCCCCACGCACTGCGCCCGCCTGCTCCGTGCCGCGGCATCGTGCTGGGAGCTGCCTGCTCGCTCCACGCAGCACAGCGAAGCCCCGGCTGGGCCACGGCCCAAATGCAGCCGGGCAGCCAGCCAGTCTCCGAAGCAAATGGAGGAGCAGGGGGTTACAGACCCATCGGCTCAGCTCTAACCCTGGGGAGACCCAGAACAAACCGCTGACCACCTACCAGCAAGTGCCCAGAAGACAAGACGGAAATAACCCTCCCTCCCCCAGCTCCTCTCTCCTGGCTGAAAGCAGCCGGGCCAGACACGGCTGTTACTGCCCCCGTCTCAGCGAGGCCCTGGCCCGGACCAGAGCGAACACGTCCAGCGCCTGGGCCGACACTGACCTTGACCCGCAAGAGAGACCATCCCAAATCAACCACGCCTCGCTCCGGGAGGACGTCACTTCACCTCCTCCTCTGCTGCCACCGGCTAACCCCACCTGGCTGCCCGGGCAGGGGAAATCCCAGGTGTGGACACGCAGGGGCAGCAGCTAGACCAGAAAGGCAGATCCCCAGATGGGGGGCTCGTGCCTGGAAGCGGAGGAGGGAACAATCCTGCTCTGGTCCACGCTGCCGAGGCCTCAGCTGGAAAGGCCCCGCTGGGCAGGCTGCGGAGAGTCGAAGGAGCAGGCTGTTTGGTTCAGAAGGGGAGGGGGGGATGAGCCTTTCTGTTTGCAAAAGGCTGCTCAGAGGACAGGCCGTGCCTGCTCTCCACACCCTGGGCACGAGGCAGGTGTAGGCTGGCACAGGACAGACATTCGTCTGGTCTGGGCAGGACCAGGCACCTCCAGGAAAGCGGCAGAGCCCTCTCGCTCGGGGCCGTCCGGACAAAGGCCTGATGGATTCAGGCCAGGCCGGCAGTTCCCATCTGCTCTAGGCCCCAACCCCCCTCGGGAAACACCAGCTCTCAGCTCGGTTTTGCCCACAGAAAAATGCTGCAGCCGTCCCTGCCCTGCAAAGACCTCAGAAGCCTACGGCAGCTCAGAGCGGTTTTGAAACCATGGTTCCTATTTCCAGTCTCTGGGTTGATCTTGTGAACGATGCCCCTGCCCCAGGCCCTGGCCGAGGATCCCTTTGCTCTGGTGCCCCCTTCCTGCCTCACCTGCCCGGCCCCCACCGCCCCCCGGGTGCACACCCTGCACCCTGCCCACGCGGCGCAACACACCAGCGGGGTTGCAGCAGAGCAAGGCGGACGGATGGCTCTGCACGCTGGCCCGGCTTGGTCGGCATTCACCCCGTGCCAGGCCGTGTCACCTGGTGACGCTGGCAGCGATTCGACGGACTCCAACAGCACGGGTGATGCACCAACGGGGGCCGGGCCCCGATGGCTGCGCCCACCCTGCTGCCGCCACCGGCTCTGCGCGGCGAGGCTGAACCGTGTCTGCTACACAGGGCTCGTCTACGCTACCAGGCCGCCGCGGTTCGAGGGCCAAGGCTTCACGGGAGCAAGTCGGCTACAGCCGCGCAGCGCCCTCGATCGACCAAGCCACAGTCCAAGCCAGGACTGGGCAGGCTTTCCTCACTGGGCCCACTCCTGCCCCATGGACCGGGACTTATGCATTGTGCGGGCACTTGATTTTTCAGCACTTGACACCTGTCTCAGCTTTTCCAGTCTTCTCCCCAGCACGCAGGTGCAACCTATCGCCAGCGTGTCACCACTTCCCTTTCCAAGCCGGGCACGCTCAGGGCTTCCTCCGGCTGCTGGAATCTCCCTCAGGGCCAGGCCCTGCGAGCACTCGGAGGCACGTGGCCTGGGCCACCCCTACACGTTGCTGCACATCCTCCTCCTCCGCTGCTTGGGGCTGCCAAGCACTTCCCCATGCCATGTGGTGAGCACACTGCCCTCCTTCCTCCCCCCTGTGACACCGCACCTTGCCCCGCCGCGCCGCCAGCCCCTGTGGCAACGAGCTCGCTCCACGCCCGGGATTTCCTGCTCCTCGGTGCACTCCAGGGACCTCCCCCCACCTTTCCAGCCCCTGCGCTTCCCCGGGAGCCTCCAACTTCCCCCGCGGTCTCCTGCATCTCATCACCACACCTTCCCCTGCTGCCCTTTGCTATGCGCCGGCTTGCAGTACTTTGCAGGGACCCTCCCAGCAGCCCCACACAATCGCCCCCCAGGTTTGGGGAACGTGCCCTTTGGGGCACCACAGGCGCTGGGCGTGCCCTAGTCATGATCCCAGCCGCAGCGACTGACCCACAGTTGGTGGCTGCCACAGGCCCCCAGGCCTGAGCAGAGCCAGGGGCAACACCCGCGAGGCTCCCGCGGCCCATGCACTGACCTGCAGGCCGCTTGGTCAGGTTGAGGCAGTCGGCATGGTACACCTTGGGGCAGCCCGGCTTCTTGCAGGACACCAGCTGCCCCGCGTCCCCACAGCTGAAGCACTCGTCCTCCCGCTCCTTCATGACCTCGGCCTGCGACCGGCGCTTCAGCGGCCGCCGCTTCAGCTTCTTGGACTTCTCCTCGGTAGGATTTGGCTGGCTCTGTGCGGGGGAACAGCACACGTCAGCTCTGGCTCCACTACACCGTGTACCATGGAGCGGAGGCAGCCTCCAAAATGAGACCCAAGCCACCGACCGCACCAGAGACGGGCTCTGAAAGCCCCTGGCCAAGGTGGGCTGGGCAGGCCTGGCTGCTCCGCGGCTGCCTCCCTCGCCCGACCCGTGAGCTCACGCTGCGAAGGGCAGGTCGGTGACCTCCCCAGGCAGGGAGCAGAGCAGAGAGCCCCTGGGCCCGGATCAGCTGAAGTGAATGTGATGGGACAAGGGCAGGGAGCAGAGAAACCTCGCTGCACCCCACGACGTGCTGCCAGCACGCTTGGCGACACCCGAGAGCCCCGTCTCCACGACCGACCCGGCACGTGGCATGTGGGGCTCGGCCTCGGCAGTGCGTGTCCAGTGTCATGAGGCTGAGGCTGGCCAGGGGCTGCAGCTGCTGCCATGCACAATGCTGCTGGGCCTCAGGAAGACAGAGACAGGCATTTCTAGGCGCTTCTGCATGGACTGCCAGGGAGGCATTGCCTCCTCCGGTAGAGGAACCAGCGCTGTCTGGAGAAGGCTGTGCCCCTGGCAGGCACCATCTGCGCTGGGCCTTTGCAGCCTGCCCCGAGCTGCACCCAGTGCATTCCCCCAGTGACAGAGCCAGAGGTGCCTGCAGTAACCAACCGCTCCCTGCGTGGCTCCCAGCTCGCACCCAAGGAGCACGGACACATCGGGTCCTGCGCGAGTCGGTGGCAGCCCAAAGCTGCGCGTGGAGCGGCAGGAGGGGAGGAGGCTGCCCTGGCCAGCACAGCTCAAGGCAACTCTGGGATCCCAGGGAGCAGGTTCAACATCAATGCTCTTGACCCTGGCACGGTCCTGACACGTGCATCACTCCTGCAGCCCTGGGCCTGGCACCTGTCCCCCTGCAGAGCTCCAGCTGCCCCCGCAGCCCACGATGCGCTTGCACGGCCAGGAGCAGGGCACAGGGATGGCTGGGGCACGCAGCCAAGCGCGACAGGGCGCAGCTGCCACCCGCTGGAAAGCCCCACGGCACAAAGCAAAACCACAGCAGGACTCGCTCCGCCTGCCAGCGCAGACCTTGGCGGCTCCCGCGCCAGCCCGCTGCGGCCCCCGACGCTCTGCTCAGGCCGAGACTTTGAGGAAGCTCGTGGCACCAGCCTGGCTGCAGCTCGGCCCCAGCGAGGAAGCCTGCGGCCCTGCCCAGCGCTGCGGCGCTCTCCCTGCCTCCTCGAGAAGCCCTGCGCAAACAGGGAGACCCGGCGCGGAAGCAGACGTCTGCTGTGCCATGCAGGGCGATGGGCCCCAGGCCCCGGCAGCTGCAGGAGCCCAGTCTTCCGGACGGCAGCTCCCCTGCGATGCCCTCGGCCCTGCTCTCCTCACAGCTTCCCCAGCAGATGGGACCACCCTGGCCTGGGCTGTCGACTCTAGCACGTGCTTCCCACGTCAACCGAGCAGCCCCAGCGCACGCTGGCCCTCCTGGTCTCCGTTCCAGGCTGCGGCCAGAGGAACCGAGCTCAGCGGCAGCCCGAGGGGAGCTCGCTCGTGGACAGCTTTGTTCTGGTTTATTGCTGAGGGTTATTACGCCCACACTCTGGCCTGGCATGTTGGAGGCAGGCAGCTGCCAGGGGCCATTTTTACCACAAATGAGGGAATAAATCGTATTACAAAAAGGTCAGGGCTTGAGAGGAGCAACTGCTGCTCCCGATGGATACAAACCACTCCCTGCCTACGCCGGGCATTCGCGAATCCCCTCTGGCAACAGAGAAGACCCGTAACCCTCAACTCCGCCGAGACGTCGGGCTCCCGTGACCAGGCCCCTGCTGCCCGCGCTGCAGACACAGCGTTTGCCCAGATTAGGCCATGGGTTTGTCTGGGCTGGTGCGGGCAGGGCCGACCTTGCCTCAGACGTGACCTCTGCAGGTCGCTCCTAACGCCATGTCTGCGGTGTGCTGCAAGCCCTGCGCTCCCGACAGGGCGCGGAGCCGCTGCGCTGGGGAGAAGAACGGCGCCAGAAAGGCTGTCCTACCTTGGGCCGCACGCCGAGGAAGCCGCTGCAGTTGGGGGCCCCACACTTGCAAACCGTCTTCCCGTTCCCCAGACACTCCAGGTTGTAGTTGAAAGTCAGCTCCGTGCCTGGCAACGAAAGAGGCACCTGAGCTGTGACGACCCAAGGGCTGACCCGAACGGAGCGTGGCACCAAGTCCCCCATCCCTCAGACCAAGCGCTACGTGCAACAGTCGTCACCTGCCAGCCCACCCACCCCCTGCCCAGAGCCGTCCTGGGACCGCAGTGCTGGGGCCCAAGCCCTGCACCACCAGGACTCTCCCGCCTGCCTGCCTGCGGCCTGGCTCTCGCGCTTGGCCCTAGCAGGTCTCACCTTCTCCCGTGGTTCTTGCCAGACAGGGCAGAAGACAAGGCGCCCCTGTCCCTGCTCCCACCCCCCGGGCAGCCCCGTGGGCCCTTACCGGCTTTGATATTCACAATGGCAAAGAGCCCGACCCTCGTGTCGCCATTCACGCACCACTTCTGCGTCTCGCAGTTGGGCTGGCAGCAGTGGTTCATGAACCGGGCATAGTTGCCCTTTGGCCCCGCATCGATGATTCGATCCTGCAATCATGAGGTGGGGGCACAGTCACCAGCTGGTGGGAGCCCTCCCTGCCCCAGCACAGGGGCACCTGGCTGGCACCCGCCAGCCCAGGAGAGCACCCGCGGGAGCCAGCGCCCACCAGGCTCATGCAGCACCTGGGCTGGCGCTCCCCTCAGAGGGACTAGCCGACCACGGGCACAGCGCGGCAACCCCATGGAGGGCACGGGGGGCTCAACGTGGTGATCCGAGCCGGGGGGCAGTTTGCTGCTGTGCCCACAGCCCGTTTCCCTCCCTGCAGAGCTCTTGTGCCCCCAGGTCCTTTCACGTGAAGGCAGAGCAGCCGGTCCCTGCTGCCAGGGCTGTCCAGGAAACCTGGGGTGTGCAGGCAGCTTGTGCACACAGAGCACTGTGAGAAGGGGTCCTGGGCCCAGCAGTGCCATGGGGCTTCCCCATGCCATCCTCTGCACCTACAGGCAGGGCGGCCTTCCCCGCAGCCAGGGCCTAGGGACCACATGGCCAAGCGCAATGCTGGGGCTGGGGCTGGGGCAGGGGCAGGGGCAGGGGCAGGGGCAG